TATCAAATGCTTGGTGCTTGGTGAAAGAAGCATGCATTTGTTACAAAGAATAATAAATATTGTATTTTTTAGCAATTTTTACATTAAGAAAGCTGTCTTACCTGATGTCTTATTTGTTGCGCTATTTAACTTGTTTTTTCCTTTTTTGGTAGGTACTTGAAGATAAGTATTGAAGAGCAATATTGTTTAATGTAACAGTGATTTACATAAATRTAATTTAGCTAATGTTTCTTGTAGATATAATCTTACCTTTGAGTTTTCGTTTTGCATCCATTTTGAAGCGCGTATACTTAAAGTCTAAAAATATRACATAATCAACTATGATTTGTGATAATATAATAGATCTCTTGAGATAAATTTGTTTATAAACATATAGTATTGCAATGATGAGATATTTTTAAATAATCAATCAGATTGGTTTCAATTCTAGATAATCTTAATAATTATAAAAGAGTAATATGAAGAATGGTTATTTAGTAATGTAATTCCTATTACATTTGAATAATAATTTTGACAGACTCATGATCTGAGTAATAAACACTAATAACTGAGGTCTGCAGAACTGACTCTTGGAAATTTTGCAATACATAAATATGATCTAGAAGTGTCCCTGAAGAGATAAAGGTAGCTGTTTGAACTAGTTGAACATATTTCTTTGTTTGCATTAACAGTTTCAGAGTTCTCGCTTCTTGATCATTAAAAAAGTTGACATTAAAATCACCAAATATTATATGTATATGATTGTTTGATAAAATGGTAGAAAKCTCATTTGTAAATTGTGTGATAGCAACATTACTCTTTTTGTACAATAAAAGGCAATGCAACAACTTTTGATTCTTTTGGATAAAAAGAGAAAACTTCAAACCATTTATGGAAGGAAAATATTCTTTGTACTCAAAATCGATGAAAACATGCTTATAGCAGATTGCTAAGCTACAATATTTATCTGTATAGTGATCTTGGCGATAAAGTGTGAAGTGCTTAAGACTGTTCCTTATATTTTGATCATCAACTTGGGGGAGAAGATGTGTTTCTGTTAAAGCAACAACATCACAATCAAAARCGTTTTGATCTAGCATCATATCTTGATAGTGCTTTCTAAGAGAGCGTATATTAAGAAGACAAATTTTTAAATGATCACTCTGAGGAGTAACAATTGGCACATTGTTGATGGAGGATACATCTCGTAATCTTTCATAATCTGCTTCAACTTTTGGATTAGATTTAACATGTTTACTTTCAATTTTTGAGAGAACTCGGATGCCTTCTAATGATCGTGATCTACTAAGAGCAACATATATTTGCCCAAAGTTAAAATTTCTTTGCTTAATTAAATCAAAGCTTATGACAACATTATCTAATGTTAGTCCCTGTACTTTATGAATTGTGCATGCCCATGATAAAGCTATTGGGAATTGTATTCTTTCAATTTCTGGGGATGATGGTTTGTTCGGTCTTAATTTTATCTTTGCTAAACTTGGCTTAATTGGGACAATATTTTGTGCAGATACAAATTGATTGCTGGAATTTGCTTCAATCAGTTGTCTACCAGCCTTAGGATCATCAAATTTTATATAAATAACTGACACCTTATTTGAATGCGGATTTAGTTCAACACTGTGAATAGTACCCATTTGTCCATTAATAAGCCTATCTTTTATGTCAATGTTAGTTGTCAACATAACCCTAGCACCATCTTTTATGTGAATCTCAAAATCAAGACCACCAGTTTCACTTCGTCCTCTCATCAAAACCATGTCTATGTCTTTCTGGTTGACGTTAGGAGGATAGCGATCTATGGCTCTTAAGACATGCAGTGGTTTATCAATTTCATCAAGTTTTCTCATATTATAACTTGTAACAGGTGCATTTTCAGCCCATATGTGAAGTGCATCGGATGGATAATCTGGATCAGAGGGGTTTAATAACCTTGCATTGATATCATTAAGATCTTTGTTTGTGTGCGAGCCTGTTCTAAAATATGAATGAATATGAACCTGTTTAAAATATGAATGAATTCACTAGCATTCCTCTGTCTCATGATTTCTGTTAATTCTAACAGTTCAAATAATTGCCAGGGATGAAATAAATTGTGAAAATCATTTTTAAAAGGTTCAAAAACTAGTCTACTTCT